TTAGGGTCGAGGGCTCCCAAGCCCTCTAACTCCTGTAATGTAGGGGCCTGAATAATTGGAATAGGGTTTTGGGGTCCTTTGTAGTATAAATATATTAAGGAAACCCCCCAAATATAATTTAAGGTATATTCCTTATTTAAGGGGTATTGGGCTCTGAAGACCTGGAAAATTTAACCGCTGAGGCTCTCAACACCGAAATGAACGCCAAGTCTTGAAGCGAAACGCCGACAGCCACAACACTTAAACCGAAAGCCCTTCGGATGAAACTGAAGCCCTCAACCCCCAACTCCTGAAACCTATGACCTAGGGTTTAGGGTTTAGGGTTCATCCTGGAACCCTAAACCCTTGCTTAAAGGAATGAACCCTAAAGCCTAAACCCTTGCTTAAAGGAACAAGAGAGGTAGGGTTCTCATACCGGCACAGTCTGTGTAAGTCCAAGATGCCTCGTCTTTCATGCGGACGCACCCGAACTGCACACCCTCCCCCCAACCCCCTCCCCAAACGCAAACCCAGAGGTTTAGGGTTTAGGGTTTAGGGTTTAGGGACAACACCCTATACCCTCAACCCTAAACCAACAAGAAATCGTGCAAAGGACAGGATTTCGGTTTCGGGTTTCATGGTCTGGCGGGTCAGAGCATTAGGGTTGGAGGTTGAGCCAGAAGCCTCAGATCCGAAACCCGAACCCTTAAACCTTGTTTTTAGGGCTTAGGGTTTAGGGGGCTTAGGGTTTAGGGTTTAGGGTTTAGGGTTTAGGGCTTAGGGTTTAAGGGGTTTAGGGTTTAGGGTTTAGGTGGCTGAGGGTTTAGGGTCACAGATGCGAACCCCCAAAGCCCACAGCTCAAACCCCTTGAACCCCCCAATCCCAAGCCCTAAACCCCAAATACCCCAAGACGTGAGCAGCCGACACGCTGGTCTTGAGGAGGGAAGTTCCTTGGCGGCTGTCCTCGCTATGCAGGAGCTTCTGAGACCTAGGGGCGCATTATTTCGGATCTTTGTAATTTCCCGACGAAGGTCATACCATTTAAGGTCTAGAAAAGAATCCGTCACTTTCTGAAATTGCCCTTCGCAGCGCTAGATCGCAGACTTAGTCTTTCAGGTTGAGGGTTCAGGGTGGAGGCGTTTAGAGTTAACACTCAGGATTCTCAGTTAAAGGTTTTTTCTTGGGATTCAAACCGGGCAGTCCCCATGCGAAGAGCAGCAGCGACAAAGGTAGGACGACGCGCAACCTCAGGCAGCACGGTTTAAGGGTCCACTTGGGGGTTCATGGGTAGCTATAGGTAGGGTTATAAGTAGGGTAACTATAGTTATGACCTATATTAGGGGACATATAACTCCACTTATAGCTACCCATGAAACTCCAAGTATGGTTTTCGGGTTTAGGGCTTAGGTTTCAAGGTCTTAGTTATAAATGGAGTTGTACGTCCCATAATACAGATGATAACTATAGTTCTCCTACTTGTAACCCTACTTATACCTACCCATGAACCTCCAAGCAGAGCCCTTGTAGAGTCCTTACAGAACCCTGACAGAGTCCTGATAGATCCCTTAACGGAACCGTATAACTACCCATGAACCTCCAAGTACCCTAAACCCAAACCCCTAAATCCTAAACCCCTAAACCCCTAAACCCATAAACCCCTAAACCCATAAACCCCTAAACCCATAAACCCCTAAACCCCTAAACCCCTAAACCCCTAAATGCCTAAACCCCTAAATGCCTAAACCCCTAAACCCTAAACCCCAGCCAAACCGTAGACCTCCAAGTAATCCTTAAAGCACCCAAGAAACTTTCGTGGGTCAGGGGTTGGTTGCTCCTACTTGGAGGTTCATGGGCAGTTATAAGTAGGGTTAGAAGTAGGGTAACTATAGTTATAACCTACAGTGGGGGACTTATAACTCCACTTATAACTACCCATGAACCTCCAAGTACACTTGGGTCGCACGATCTGCCCTTAGGGTGTTGTTTGAACTGTTTCGGGTTTAGGGTTTGGGGTTGAGGGTTTAGGGCTTCTAGAGGTTTAGGGTTTAGGAGTTTGGGCTTATAGGGTTTTGGGTTAAGGGGTAGGCTTTGTAGTCCAGGGATTCGGGTTTAGGGTTTAGGGTTTAGGGTTTAGGGTTTAAGGTTCATGGCTAGGGTTACCGTTCAGCTAATCAGGGTTTAGGGCTTGGGGTTTTGGGGTTTACCTAGCGGATCGGGAGACTTCGGCAGTAAGGTTATATAAGTACCTTAATCGGGACAACGATCGTTATCTCTGCTGATCACACCATGTACTCAATCCCCTGATCCTGTGCGTACGACGTGCAGGGTTTAGGGTTCAGGGTTCAGGGTTTCGGATTTACATAAGGATTAATTTAGGGTGTAACCCTAAACCCTAAACCCTAAACCGGGTTTACAGTAGGGTTTAATCACAAGGTCTAGGGTTCGGGACTCGGGATCTCGCTTCATGGGCTCAGATTGCAGGCCAGATGTTCGTGTTTAGGGTTTAGGGTTTAGGGTTTAGGGTTTTAGGATTTAGGGTTTAGGGTTTAGGGTTTAGGGTTTAGGGTTCAGGGTTCAAGGTTCAGGGTTCAAAAAGTAGTAACCTACTTTTATAGCCATACTTATGAAGTCCCCGGCTCCTCCTAGTAAGGCACATGATCGCATCTCAGGCCCGCACATCTTGGACGGCGGAGGTGGTGGATGCGAGGCGATACAAGTCTTTGCGCCCTCTAAAAGAGCCGATATTTTGGGGTTCGCAGGCACGCAAGAATTGGAAAAAGGAGCCTGGAGACTGAGAACGGGATGTTGCAGGCTACTACTATGTTACACTTCGTTCCTGCAGGGTCTCTAAAAGAACGTGACTACTAGTTATTGAGACCTCTGTCCGGCCGCCTCTGATGCTGAACCCTCTGAACTTGAAACGAAACCGGCACAGTTTCATTAGAATCTAAACCCTAAACCCTAAACCCAAAGGAAAAAAGTTGAAGACTGAAGAGGCCCCAATAAACCCTCAACCGAAGGCACTCAGCAATAAACCCTACACCCCGAACTACGCCCTAAACTCGAAAGAGCCGCATAAAGACCCAACGGAACCCAAAGCCGGGGCTTCAGGAATCGTGACTGCAAAACAGGGTTTAGGGTTTAGGATTTAGGGTTTAGGGTTTAGGGTTTAGGGTTTAGGGTTTAGGGTTTAGGGTTTAGGGTTAAGTGGAGTTAGAAGTCCCCTAATATAGGTTATACCTACAGTTACCCTACTTTTGACCCTACTTGCTTATAACTACACAATGAACCTCCAAGCAATGATCATCAGAATTAGGTTTTGCGTTTCTTTTGAGGGTTCCTTTACACAACAAAGGTTACCATAAGGTTTAAGTGCCGGCGGCATATTAACTACTGCCTAGAAGAGGGGTTGGGGACACTGTACAGTCACTTCTAGCAGGGCAACCCGGAGAAACGGGTATGTGGTATTTGCTCAAGTCCTATATGAAGAGATGTCGTGGCTTACGGAAATAGCAGGCTCGGCTAGCCCCCTCAACCGTGCGGCAAGATCCTCTTAGGTCCAAGAATACTAAACCCCAAACCCGAACATACCCTAACAAGAGAGGAACGTGCCGAAAGATGTTCCACTGGCCCCACTCGACTTCTAAACCCCTAAACCTTAAACATTCCTGCACATCATTCTTTTGCGGCTCTGCGGCTACAACGGCCCTGGATGCTGTCCATCTGATCCATCTGCGGGTGGCCCTTGTTGTTGTGCCTGGTTTTGGGCTGTCGTCTTATCCTCATCGCTGGCCTCCGATTGGGCTCCAGCCCTCTGCAATGCCTCAACTACGTTCAAGTGGCCGGTAACTTCTGCCCATTTGAGGGCCGTGAAGCCATCCACACCACGGGCCTCCAGCTGGGCTGACGCCTTCAGCAACGCCTCGACCATGCTCAGGTTGCCTTTCCGTGAGGCAGACATGAGGGCTGTCTGACCAAGCGGATCGGCGGCGTCCAGCTCGGCTCCGGCCTTCAGCAGCGCCTGGGCCACATTCAGGTGACCATTCCAAGCAGCTGTAATAAGCGCTGTGCTGCCCTGCGTGTTAGCGAAGTCGTGCTGGGCTCCAGCTTTGAGCAACGCCTCGACCACCTGCAGGTGGCCGTAGCGCGCAGCCTGGATAAGGGCTGTGTCGCCATGCCCATTTCGGGCCTCCAGCTGGGCTCCAGCCTTCAGCAAGGCCTCGACCACCTGCAGGTGGCCGTAGCGCGCAGCCTGGATAAGGGCTGTGTTGCCATGCCCATTTCGGGCCTCCAGCTGGGCTCCAGCCTTCAGCAAGGCCTCGACCACCTGCAGGTGGCCGTGGTTTGCAGCCTCCATGAGGGCTGTGCTGCCGAACTCGCTGCGGGCCTCCATCTGGGCTCCAGCTTTGAGCAATGCCTCGACCACATTCAGGTGGCCTCTCGTTGCAGAATGGATGAGGGCTGTGTGACCAAACTCATTACGGGCCTCCAGCTGCGCTCCGGCACTCAGCAAGGGTTCGATGACCCCCTGGTGTCCTTCATATGCGGCGTAGATGAGGGCCGTGTAGCCGAACCGGTCCGGAGCATTCGGATCAGCATTCTGATGGAGCAGCTGCTTCACCTGCAGTTGCCTGGACACTGCATCGAGCTCCTGACTCCCCTGCTCCGCCTCCCTGATGTGTTCGTCCCAGTCACGGGCCAAAGCAAGTGCGCGCTCCTGCGCAGCTTTCAGCTTGTGAAACCTCCGCTTTTCCGCCAGCGCCCTCATCCGCTGGACGGCGAGGCCCGCATCATTTGCGATGGGCTTGGCACCGGTAACGGCCTCGAGGGCGAGATGAGGACTCACTGGTAGGTCTGGTGGGACAAACCCATAACCCTGCTAAACCATTAAACCCTAAACCGTAAAATCTGTATAGACCCTAATACAACCACGGCCTGTCGCAGCGCCGCGTCCTTGCGGTCTTGAGCCTCTTTGGCCTCAAAGTTTGAGTTTGGGGTTCAGAGCCGTCTTGAGATCAGG